GTCATTTCTACATATAGATATATAAATGCAAGTGTGTGTGCTACGTTGTCATTTCAATTTTCTTACATATAGGCGTTACGTAAATGTGAATGCCACGTTGCCGATATTCGCATTCTCTCCGAAATAAATTTTCGCTGCTTTTCTGATGAATTCTTCAAACCGCCTGTGTATTGGGTGAATCAAAGAAAGAGTTTTTTTTAGAGAAGTTCTACGCATAAATGCAGTTTACGAATATTGTTTTGAAAAATATGTTATCTAATATGTGAGCTTTCTATATAATTTGCAATGGAAATTTTAGATATTATTTTAGTTATGCACTGAGCAATGTTTCACTATATTTTCGCACGTAATTTTATCTTATAAATTGAAGCAGTAAGTGTGCTGTAATTTTTGCAAAAGGAAATCAGTGTCACGATGGCAAAAGTTCCACATCGTTTTCATTTGTGAGTGAAAAATGATCTACTTCATTTTTGCATGTATTTTCACCATACAAAAGCATTTTAATTCGGTCAAGTCAATACAAAATAATATTTGTAAGAAAATCTCGTTGACGTGATATCGACACCCTTGCAAAACTTTCGTTGTGCTGATTGTACTAAATCAAAAACCCTTTGACGTGAAAGTACGTGCAAAAATAAAGCGAAGCATTCCTCAATATGAGAGGAAAACTATAAGAAAATGCTATCATAACAAAATTACCGAATTCTTCTGCAAAGATTATTTCTTTCTATATGCGCTGAGTTAAAAATCCTTTTACATGATGAAAGTATGTGCGTAAATGAAGCGGAGCGTTCCTCAATATGAGAGGAAAACGATAAGGAATGATTACTATCATGACACCGAATCTTTCTGTAAAGATTAGTCTTTTCTACATGCGCCGAGTTAAAAACCTTTTTGCATGGTGAAAGTACGTGCGAAAATGAAGCGGGGCATTCCTCAATATGAGAGGAAAACGATAAGAGACAGTTACTATCATGACACTGAATCTTTCTACAAAGATTAGTTCTCTCTACATGTGTACTTGATCGAATTAAAAATGCTTTTGTATGGTGAAGGTACATGCAAAAATAAAATGGAGCATTCCTCACTCAGGGATGAAAACGATGTAGAACTATTGCTATCGTGACACTGATTTCCTTTTGTAAAAATTACAGCGCAATTACTACTCCAATTTATATGATAAAATTGGGTGCGAATATATAGTGAAATATTGAATTTTAATTTTCATTGAAAATTATATAGAAAGCTTACATATTAGATAACATGTATTCTTCAAAACAATATTCGTAAATTACTCTAATGCGTATAACATATTTCTAAAAAAAAAACTCTTTCTTTGATGCATCCACACTGAGAGAAAAATGTATGATATTTGAAACTATAATGGCATAGTAAAAAGATTATAGTTAGGAATATAATTTTTATAGTAAATGTTACCATTAATATTTGTAATATTTACAATATAAGCATAGTATAACTGACCCGTGTAAAATTTTTACCAAGAGTTGAAATTATTTTAAATAAAAAATATAGTAATAAAGTGGCAAATATTGAATGGTAAGAGAAATTAACTATTTTATATAGTCAATGCAATTGGAATATTTGGCAAATATAGGTACATATAACTATATTCCCAAAAGGTTCTTTATCATATATATAGAATAATGGTAACTATAAATCTGTGTTCATTCTACTATATCTTCATGTTTAGATGAACTATAAATATATGTTTTTATATGAGGCCAAAACAAACTATAAAATATAGTGAGATTATAGTTATTCCAATTATTTTTTTCTCTCAGTGCAGTATATAAGCGGTTTGAAGAATTCATCAGAAAAGCAGCGAAAGGCTCTCTTGGAGAGAATATGAATATCGGCAACGTGATATTCACATTTACGTACCGTCTATATGTAAGAAAATTGAAATGACAACGTAGCACATATACTTGCATAACATCTGTGAAGGAACGATATATGAAAAAATACTGCGGTGCAACAATAGCGCGAACATGTTTACCACGTAACCATTAAACGCTAGCATACATATTGCTTATTACTGGAATTCTCTTTTTATTTAAATTATCTATTAAAATTCACTTACGATGTCTTCATAATGTTCCTGAAAGTCTTCTCTATGCCGCATACTATGTATTCGAAGTGTATGAGCTCTAAATTTGTCACATGAAACTAAATATGACACCTGTATCGCATTTTCAATAGTAAATACAAAATTTTTTGTTGATTTCGATGCAACTTTTTAGTATGCGGCATTCATTATCGCTTATACTTTCACGCTGTAAAAGCATTTGCAGTTTTATGCATGCAATTAGAAGAAAAGAGTATTCTACGAAAACGAGCCTAGCAGCATCGCCTTAAGGGGATGCTGGAATGGACGGCAAACTCACTAAGCATCGATAACGTAAAAGCGAACGTCAAAAAATAAAAAACGTTATCATTTATCGACGATACTGATTTCATATATATATAGATACATATAGATATAAAGACGATCGTCAAATAGGCGCTGACATGATGCCACTATAATATAGATACGTGAATGTGCAAGTGTGTGTGCTACGTTGTCATTTCAATTTTCTTACACATAAACGATACGTAAACTTTGCAGAAAAAAGTCAATGTTGTATCGATAAAGTTTTCACGTCCAGCATCCCCTTAAAGAGTATAAAATATCTGAGAAACAAGTGAAACATTAAGATTCACAGATCTTAGGATACGTGGTAATAAATAAATAAAATTTACATACTTTAAGACTCCTTGTACCTTGCTGCGGTCATGTTGAATTTGTGACGTTAGAAGCAAGGAATGACATAATAATGCAAGTTGCGTGCCATTTCTAAATAATGATAAATATGGACGAAAAAGCATTTGAGACTGCTTGAACATACTTGTAAAATTGTCTGATAAATAAACAGGCTCATTTCACTATTTATTATACAATTTTATAATTTAATATACTATTTATTGATCATCAGGGGAAAGGAATAACTTTCGGGCAATTTTACAAATGTGCTGAAACAATCTCAAATGCTTTTTTGCCCATATTTATTTTTATTCAGGAATGGTGTGCAACTTTCGTTATCATTACTTGCTTTTGACGTCACAAATAGAAAATCGCAAATGATTTTTATTATTTTTCTAGTTTTGTAAAATTTTTACTTTATATTCTTTAAAACAAAATGAGGGCAGTGGTAAAAGACGAAGAGGAATTATTTCTCATAATGTATAAGAAATAAAAATTATTTTATTGATAACAAATGTACACAAATTTGTTATATTTTCATATGGAAAATTATTTTCCCATATGGAAGATGTGAATGGTTTACCTATCTACATCCTCATCACATTAACAATGAGTAACAGTAAGAATCAATAGTAATTATCGCAATAAAGATGTTACTGTAAAATGTACAAAACTTCAAGCCCGTTTGCTGTCGGAAAATACACGGACGATACAACCAACACCGCTTATATTGAACACTTTTTCATGCCAAATTAACAAGTGACTACTGCTACCTTCTGTTGGAATCTCGAAACCTCGGTAAATGTACTTCATTAAAACATCTACTAAGTCACGATCTAATTGTGCTAAACAATCGTCTATTTGATTTGACTTTATACTTAGAAGCACCTTCTGTGTTAAGTTTCGAGCACTGTCCTGAAAATAAATTAGAAATGTTTGAAAAACATTCTTACAAAACTACTAAATTCTTATAGCTAGAATGGTATAATTTATATAGTATTATGCAAAGTAACGTCATAGTTCTCATTAACAAATTATAGGGCGCAAGAATCTTAGAATTTTTCCATTAAGGACTTTAAACTTTAAATCTCACATAAAGTAAAAATCACTTTTTTGTCATTGCAATTCAATAAAGATAAGAAAAAAGTGTAATTTATACATTTTTCCAGATTTATAGTATCATTTTACATTTAATAAACCGTAAACAGTCAAGCGGCACGATAGTGCAAAGTATATAAAAAATGTTAGTCACAGAAACGACATCTATGTTTACGTCATAGACGATGCAGCACTACTAGCTTTTCTGGAAGTTTTTTGTAAATCGACATTTCAATTGAAATATCTCAAGAATTAAAGCAGTAATAAAAAAAAGTAACGGTAGTTTTCTAATATAATGTGGATATAAGCTTTTGATTGCAACTAATCGTATTAAGATCGGTGTAGTCAAAATCCTGAGTTCTCAAAATTTTACAATTCAATTTTTCAATTTCTTCCTAATTCAGGCTTTTAATATCGCATGTACAAACGCGTACTCTCAAAGCGAGATTACCCTTCAAGTTATTTCTTCTACAGTGCATATATACGAGTATATTTAGACGCATGAGAACATAAATGTAGAAACATATTTTTCTGCATATTTTTAAGCAATTTTATAACTGCTATATTGCACATATTTGAATACACTCGAATACATTAATGTTATATCATTCTAGATCTATACTCTAGATCGATACACTAGATCGATACTCACTAAAAATTTCTAAACAGCCACATCCATCTTTAACTACACGTTTCTCATGACTGTTAGTTAATTTGGCAAGCGGGAATGTGTCCATAGCCAACGTGACATTTTGACAGTTTGACATTGCGTATACACGTCTGTAAGAAGGAGTTATTTGCTTTCATGTGACATGTAATCAACAGAAGAAGAGTACAAATTTTGAGAACGAAAGAGAGAAGGGAATAAAAAATTACATAAATAATTTTGTAGAGGTGCATAATTATAATTAGTTATGATTAGAACTGATTTTGATCCGTAGTTGAATTTGTGTGCATCAGTAAGGGTTATCCGCTTACATACAATTCCATATGAGGAGGTAGACAATTTGACTACAGATTCAAATCAATTCATACAATTAATTGCAATTATTTAATCTTACAAAATTAATTATATAATCTCTTATTTCTCTCTTCAAATTTTTATTCTTACTCTACTGGGAGTTTATTATAGTTCTGTGCTGGTTTTGTAACTTGTTATTGAAGTTTTGAACAGTTTCGTTATCGTTACACAGTTTTTGTATATCGTAGAAAAGCTGCGCAACGATAACGAAATTGTCGTTAACTCCAATAACGAGTTACAGAATCCCAACACTGGAGCTCTATTCTCGAAAAATATTGCATACGATATTTCTATGAAAAGCTATAATATATATAATATGAACTATAGCTTTTCATAGAAATATCGTATGCGATATTTTCCGAGAATAAGGCCCATGAGGGTCGATTGTATATTATAAAACCTAGTAAAAATCACAAAAATAAGCTCTCGCTTGACTGGCTTGATTAACTTTCATTATAGTGAAAATGCGATATTGCTCACGCGAGATTGATCGGCAAAAAATTCCATGTCGAATTGTGTCAAAGGCCGCATTTCAATATTTACCAATACTGAAAATCTATAGTATATATAATACGAACTATAGATTTTCAGTGCTGCAGTAAATATCGGAACACAGCCAAAGTGTGAAACGTATTTAAAGGTAAAAAATATATTAATATTTTCGCACCTCTAAAGCATCATAATAATTATGGATTATATTCTTATTTTTTATGGATGAAAATGAGAATAAAATAAAAAAAAATGAGGATGATAAAATAAAAAAAAAAAAGAATTTAAATATAATAAAAAGAACATTAAGGGATTATTCAAGACACATTCGACATCCCAAATGATATATTTATGAAATTATATACGTTAAATAAATAATTAATAAATTCTTTTTAAATTATAATTTCTTTATAAAATATACTTATGTAACATATATTTTTTTTTGTTTTTTAATTACATTTATTTTATTTCTTTTACTTTACTAACTTTTTTACTATATTCTTATATATAGTTTCAGAATAAAGAATAAATTATCAACTTTCTTTCCCATTTCGTACATGTACGCCCTGTGCATATGATGGACATTTACTTATGTATATATTCACGCGTTTAGTATTTATTCTTTATTCACATGCGTAATATTTCACTTGCTGCTGCTGTGAACATAAGGATTTCGCATTTTCATTTTTACTATAGCCAATTGCGCGTACTTTTTCATATAACATGAAAGTGCGAGAAGTAAAAACATTCGGCAGAAATACACAATTGACTCCGTGTGAAGTAAAAATGCGAAAAGTGAGCAAATTCACTAGATGTTGACCAATAAAATTATAAATATTCTAGTAAATTCGTTCACTTTTCGCCTTTTCACTTCTCACACAAAATCGTAATAAGCTCCCTGATTACATGGAAGCAGATAACTTTTTGTACATGTATACAAAATATCAAAATGTCAAAATGTTATCCTTCCTTCCTTCCTTCCTTCCTTTAATAGGTGATTTATAGGCACCTGTGCCGGACTTCTGTAACTTGTTGTGCAGTCGTTATCAGCACATAACGACTGCATAACAAGTTACAGAATCCTAACACTTTGAGCATGTATTATGGAATTTTCCCGATCGGAATCTTTCCGTTATTCCTTAGATTTCTATTATCTTTTCTAGGGAAAACGGAATTATTCCGATCGGAATCGATTCCAAGGAGTTCTATAATACGTGCCCTGTGTTGGGATTCTGTAACTCGTTATTGGAATTAACGGCAATTTCGTTATTGTTGCGCAGAAAATGAGCTTATACCGTAGAAAAGTTGCGCAACGATAATGAAATTGTCGTTAACTCCAATAACGAGTTACAAAAACCCAGTACTGATAAGATTTATGCTCTTATGCTATTATGCGGTCTAAGGTTTCCGTCGAGAAGTAAGAACATTCGACAGAGAGGAAGTGATCAATCCTTGGTTGTGGATCTGTCACAGTGTCTGTTTAGTGATAGCTTTCAAAGATTCCTTGGAAGTAGCTCCACGGTATTTTCCAAAAAAAATCAGATCACGTCCGAACAAATTCGAATGTCTTTACGTTTTCTCGTATGTTATTAAAATGTCACATTGGCTGTGAACATATTTGAACTGTTCTTTTTAACTACACTGCTGAACTGCAATAAGTTAGAGTGAAAAAAATATATTTGTCTCATTCTAACTTATTGTACCAGTTTAGCAGTGCAACTGAAAAGAGCAGACCAATTTCCGCTTCCTAGGTTAATTAATAGTCATGAGAAATGTAATTAGAGACGAATGCGGCTGTTTAGATATTTTTAGTGAGTGAATGGTATAGTATCCATGTGTTCAAGTGTACGTATAAGGACCGATTATGCTAACTTCTTGGTAAGCTATCTGACAGTTAAATACATAGACGGAGCGAAAATACATAGAAGATACGATTATAGACGAGGGACTGTGAAGCACAAGGAGTAAGAGGATTACATCGTCGCGACCATGTTGGTGTCGGAGTTTTGTATCTATTGTCTATGTATAAAAACAGCGACCGTCGCCATTATAGTATGTCAACTCCATTACAAACAATCGCCAATACATACAATCATTCCCTTCACCCTTTGGGCTTCACTCCCACGACAATTCGCTCCGTCCATGTATTCTTACGTCCATGGTGGACAATGTGTTTGTCTTTGTCTAATTTGAAGAAAAAACGAAGACAGACATATGATTTAACCGTCAGGTAGTTTACTAAGAGGTTGGAGCAATCGGCTCTAAGAGATGCACATGTTTGAATATGTATACCTAAGTTCGCGACGTATATAAATGTTATATCCGTCATCGTGACTCTCCTTAATCGCAATTGCTGTTGCCATTATAGGCCTTCTATGATAAGCCAGCAGTCATTTTAAAAAATAATTGACTATGATTGGTCAATTTGCTTGAGGCTTATGACTAATAGCTTATTATAGAAAAAAGAAGTAGAAAGTCCATTATAGTAAACGTCATCGTATTCATCGTTATCGTCATCGTCGTCGTCGTCGTCGTCGTCGTTGTTATTGTAGTAGTAGTCGCTATTGTCATCGCTACCGCTGTCGTACATATTCCGGCACAAGAGCCTTAACATTTTATTTTTGTTATTTACTAGACCTAGTCTCGAAACGAATTTATCGATTACGTGTAATACACAGAGTGCCCCAAAAGTCTGGCAACGGTTAAATATCTCAGAAACAGTGTATTTTAGAAAAAAAATCGTTTAGACGAAAGTTGTAAGGTTAAAAAGTTGCATTTAATGGTAATATCTGTTTGACCTTGGATGGCGTCACCAAGGTCAGGACAAGGTTACCTTATAATTTTTTAAATGGGACTCTATTTCTTGTTGCATATTTTTATAGCTTATTTCGAGAGGTTTTCAAAACATTGCAATAACGTATTTTATCATTAAATACTTTTTGAGTAATGAAACTTGAAAATTACAGTACTGCCGGCATTAGCATTATCCAAGGTGTACCACGCGGAGGTTCCTCGGTCAGATTTATCTCTTTGGCTTTGTAACTAGGCTTTGTAAATGTGTAAACTATTATGTCAAATTGTATACATATATTTAATACTGTATATATATATTTTACTGAAAACAAAAATTTGAAATATGTTGTTGATTCTCTTTCTACATAATATATCTAAATATACTCGTATATAAGAGTTGCGAGTGCAGCTTGAAGAACAAACTCAGATTATAGAATATTGTTGGAATACTTTATAAAACAAAAAGTATAAGTAAGTAAAAGTAAACTATAGTAAAAATACATATGGAAGAAAAGATATATAAAATTATTAATGCAATTTTTCATCATGAAGAAAATATCAGTAATGGGCACACACATTATACAAATATAATTTGTGTGTCAAGACTTCAGAATAGATATTTATGAATGGTTCAAAAACAGATAAATGTAATTGTCTTCGAAATGCAAAAAATGCGTATAATTTTTTCGCTGAAAAAATATAATGTAATAGAATGTGTATTTAATATCACTATATTATTTTTACAAAGTAATATATTATGTATTGTCAGGATTTAATGATTACAAGTTTGCAATTTTAGTTTTTACAGAAAGAAATGAAATCATAACAAAATGGACTTTATAAAAACGCTTTATAAATATATTTAAAACTTTATAAATATATTTAAAAAATGTGCAAAGATATATACAACAAAAACTAATCAAATATTTTTAAAATTATATTAAACATATAATGTTATAAAAACACATTACTAAATAATCCAGCGAAAAATGATTCATTGATTGACGTCAAATGATATCAAATTGACGTTGAAATCGTCAAACCGACGTCAATTTGATATCATTTTGACATCAATCAATGAATTATTTTTCACTGTGTGTGTGTATGTATGTGTGTGTGTGGGAATAGATAAGATCAATACAAATAATCATGTATATAATTCTGCAGAAAAATCTTGATTGAAGCATACACACACACACACACACACACACACACACACACACACACACACACACACACACACACACACACACACACACAGCAAAACTTTAATAAAAACTCTAACAAATATTATAAAGATTTAAAGAAAATTAATTTCGTTGAACAGTAGATGAAATCGATATGAGTAACCATATATATAATTCTGCAAAAAAGTTAAAAAATTATTTAAAACATACATATATAGTAAAAATTAAAAAAAGTTCTAACGAAGATATTACAAGAAAATGTAAAAAAAAATATCGAAGATATATTTAATATAAGACATCGCGTGTATGTCGTTTAAAAATGTAATTTTGCTAAACTTAGATAAGAACTCAATACAATATATATCTCCATAAATTTTATGGACATATAAATTTTACTCTTAAATTAATAACTATGTTGTGAAACATGGAGGTAAAAATTGAAGAAAAATTTAATATCAGGATTTAAAAACTTGGCGTGCCCATGTTGTATTCAATAGTTGACATCGACTTTATAACGCTACTTTATACTCAAAGAATTAATGTACATAAATTATAATATATATACTTTATGAAGCATGGGTAAGATGGACAGTATATATATAGGATGAATACAGTATACATAGGATTGATAGAGTATTAATACATGTTAATTATAATTTACAATAAATATTATAAGATTAGACATAGAGTATTAAACATTAAACATAGAGTATTAATAAACGTAAATTTTAACATATATACACTTTATAAAGAGGAGAATAAGTTTAAATGCAACTCGGATATGTCAATTTTTCAGTCTCAACATAAAATTTTTCTTTAATTTCTTCTGAATATTTCAGCGTAAAGTTATTAATTTTACAGTAAAATTTGTATGTCAATAAAATTTATGGAGATATATATTGAGTTCTTATTTACATTTAGCAAAATTACTTTTTTAAACCATATACACATGCAATTTCTTATTTTAGATATTTTCGATATTTATTTATTTTTCTTTATATTTCTTTTAGAAATTTTATATATTTTTACTATATATATATATATATATATATATATATATATATATATATATATATATATATATATATATATATACACTACACTACACTACACTACACACACACACACACACACATGTCCCAATTAATTTTTGAATCTTTTCATAAAATTATATATATGGTTATTTATATTGATCTCACCTACTGTTTAGCAAAATATAAGTTTTTTTTATTTTTATAATATTTCTGTTAGAACTTTTTATTAACTTTGCTATATACATACATACATACATACATATATATATATATATATATATATATATATATATATATGCTTGAATTTTGTAAATTTTCTGCAGAACTACATATGTGGTTAATTACATTATAGTATTTATCTTATCTTTAGCGGTTATGTTTTAATACGCTTAATGTTTTTTACATTAGTTTTTGTTATATACGTGTTTGAGTATACTTAGCGATGTTTTTATTTTTATATTATATTTTTGCGGACGAGCAAATTTAAAGATAATCATTATCGCACAGAAAATATTTTGAGGTTACCTTAACTTGCTGGTTTTTACATCCTAATGGTGCAGATTTTAATACCGATATCAATGCCTCCGCATTCTTTCCCTTAAAAAGATGTTAAGGAAAAATAAACGAGCAAAATTCTCGAAAAATAAAAGCTCGACAAATAAACGCAAGTTTAGCAAAGGATATTGGCTAAGAAGTGTTAGAATCTCGTTCTCATCCGGGCCATTGGGTGCGCCCACGCCACCGTCAGCGTCTTCTTCTTTAAAATTGTTGTCGCTATATTGGTCCACATCAATCTTCCGAAATGCGGACGCCGAAGTGTCCTTTTTACCATCGTTCCTCGACATTTCGACTGCACTTTTGATGTTTCACGCCCGGCTTATCAAGCAGCGCCTTCTTCGATGCGTCAGAGAGAAGCTTGAGGGTGTTCTCTCTCTCTCTCTCTCCCCCTCTCCCTCTCCCCCTCCATATCTCTCACTCCCTCTCTCTCCCCTTCTCTTCCTCCCTCTCTTTCTATCTCTCCCTCCCTCCCTGATAGAGAGTAGAGACTTATGACGTCATTAATCGCTCTCGGAGCGATTAACCCAGAGCCAGTCGAACACGCTATTAGTTTACATCGTGCACTTGATACGCATATTGAATAGTAACTTTCTATTAGATAATCTTAATATTGACAATGCATATCAACGGCGACGCATTTAATCAATACGTTTTCTTGATGAATATTATACCAGTGTAATATACCGTTGTTTATATATATATATATCGTCGATATTAAGATTATCTAATAGAAAGTTACTATTTAGTATGCGTATCAAGTGCACGATGTAAAGGTGCCAATGCATAGGAGCGTTTCAGCGTCGAGCGTTAGCCAATCAACGTATCAGGTCCCAGAAGTATACTTGTAATTCTTGTGGAAAGTGGAACGTTGATTGACTACCGCTTTAAGGCTCGATGCTTCCATGTAAAGGCACCTTAAAATAAGCCACTGACTCTTGCGGCGTTGCGAGCGTAAGTGGACCAAACTAACAAACCAAACGCTACCGTGGTCACAAAACGAAAAAACGCCTAAGGAGAATAATCAACTCTGATTGGTCAGTTTTCTTACGACCTTACGATTACAGTTAAAATTTTTCTACATGCAAAGATTCTAAGAAGCCATCTATAATGGAAAATCGTACGTCTAGCAGTAAGAAATTGATTAATGACAATTGATAATTCTTGTAAAAATCTAATATGATTAGTCAATTTTTTACTGCTACGGCGTACGATTTTTCATTGTAGATGACCCTTTAGGGCCGTGGCACACAGAAAAACTTAAGCAGTAAGACGTATGCAGTAAGCGAATCAGCCAATCACAGTCGTTGATTCTTGGACCGTAAGAAGAATCAATAAAGGGACGTCTACATTGGAAGTAAGCAGTAAGAAGTAGAAAGTAAGAATAAGAAATTGACCAATTATAGTTGATTATTCTTCTCACATTTGACTGTGGTTGGTCAATTTCTTACTCTTACTTCCTACTTCTTACTACTTACTTGCAATGTAGACGTCTCTTAACTGTGATTGGTAATTTGCTTACTGCTTACGTCTTAGGCTATCGCACACAAATTGACATAACTGCATATGCATAGCATAAGATCGTATGGACCAATGAGCATCGAATATTAAGCATCGAACACCAATATGGCGACTTAATACTCGATGCTCATTGGTACATACGGTCTTATGCATATGCAGTTGTTACGTCCGGATCTATTTTAGAACATTAATAATATATTATTATAGACCGGGAGGCCGACTTGTCTGATTTCAGACATCACTAGATATTTTATCCCTACGTTACTAGATGTAAGTACGTGCGCATATGCATATTCGCGAGCGTTAAAACATTATAATTAAAATGCCGAATGCTGCGTGCTGCTGGAGAGTCTCGAAATCGACGGATCGACCCAAAGAAACCGCTATCGCTCAGTGCGATAAGCCAACATAAACAGGAGCATGAAAGCTGAATCCTAAACACCACTCAGGACACCGACGCGGTGACATCATGCAAAGGAATGAATCTCTTCCCTCGCCATAACTCCATGGACCAATCGGAGAACGACTCTCAGCGACAAAGCGACATATAAAAGCGCGCGCATTTGTAGAGAAGGCAATATAATTATTTTCTTCTCATAGTTAGTCTCTGGTAGCTTCGTGTACTTATTCAGCATATTATACTTAGTCGTAAAATCCGACTGTGTTGCAATTACTTTTGCCTACCCTTCATATTTCAAACGTTGCGAAATCAAATTCTGAATCGCGGGCCGCATCAACCCGCGTGGTATCGGAACATCCGAGGCCGAGCCAGGAGAACAAGCACCGCTGATTTTTCGCCAGATTCATCAATCGTTTCGCCAGGCTCCCGAGACCCAGGGTAAACTCGGTGAAAAGCAGAGTGACCCAAAAGCGGAGCCATCACTCTGTTGACCGTCCACGTAAGTCACTGATTTCACTACTTTCAAATTTCCCTATATAGTTATCTATCGTGGACGTAACACTATTATGTCAATTTGTGTGCGATAGCCCTAAGAGCTAGAAGGTTATTACGGAAAGCAGCATATTGATTGGCTGTCGCGTGAACTTCCGCCGCGCGGCAAGCATTACCGCGTTCTGTGTGCAGGAGCTATTAGGTATATGCAAAAATTTAGAGAATAGGGTCCCAAGGCCCCTATTCTTGAAATAGTTGCGTATACATAAGTTTTATTGCGCAGGTTTAATCATACTATAAAATAGCTGCGCAATGAAAATTACGTATACGTAAAAATTTCAAGAATAGAGACTCAGGGCCCTTATTCTTGAAATAGTTGCATATACATAAGTTTTACTGCGCAGGTTTAATCATACTATAAAATAGCTGCGCAATGAAAATTACGTATACGTAAAAATTTCAAGAATAGAGACTCAGGGCCCTTATTCTTGAAATAGTTGCATATACATAAGTTTTACTGCGCAGGTTTAATCATACTATAAAATAGCTGCGCAATGAAAATTACGTATACGTAAAAATTTCAAGAATAGAGACTCAGGGCCCTTATTCTTGAAATAGTTGCATATACATAAGTTTTACTGCGCAGGTTTAATCATACTATAAAATAGCTGCGCAATGAAAATTACGTATACGTAAAAATTTCAAGAATAGAGACTCAGGGCCCTTATTCTTGAAATAGTTGCATATACATAAGTTTTACTGCGCAGGTTTAATCATACTATAAAATAGCTGCGCAATGAAAATTACGTATACGTAAAAATTTCAAGAATAGAGACTCAGGGCCCTTATTCTTGAAATAGTTGCATATACATAAGTTTTACTGCGCAGGTTTAATCATACTATAAAATAGCTGCGCAATGAAAATTACGTATACGTAAAAATTTCAAGAATAGAGACTCAGGGCCCTTATTCTTGAAATAGTTGCATATACATAAGTTTTACTGCGCAGGTTTAATCATACTATAAAATAGCTGCGCAATGAAAATTACGTATACGTAAAAATTTCAAGAATAGAGACTCAGGGCCCTTATTCTTGAAATAGTTGCATATACATAAGTTTTACTGCGCAGGTTTAATCATACTATAAAATAGCTGCGCAATGAAAATTACGTATACGTAAAAATTTCAAGAATAGAGACTCAGGGCCCTTATTCTTGAAATAGTTGCATATACATAAGTTTTACTGCGCAGGTTTAATCATACTATAAAATAGCTGCGCAATGAAATTTACGTATACGCAACATTTCAAGAATATTGGCTGCATTCAGCAGACTCAACAGTTGCACAACAGTTGAGTAATTTGTCAATGTAATTGGTCTAGATTTAGGGATCTAATAGCAAGAACCAATAATCGTTGATTGTTCACTGAGCGCTTTTTCTACTGAATGCGCCCATTGTTCCAGTCGAACACGCTAAAAGAATTGCAGAAAATAATCGATGCATCATCAGAAAAGAATCGATTCTCGATGCATCGAATCAGAAATCAGCATCCCTACCGCCCTCACAACAGTGCGCGGTATTCTTGGAGACTATAATGTCGGATAGCCTCTAAAAGATAACTGGAGTTTCTACTAATAATTTGTATGTATAAGACCGCACAAAATATGCTGATGCCGCTGATTGAAAGCTGATGGACAGAGTCTACCTACGAACATTATCAGTTTGCCGTTGTTATCGCGTCAGCAACCAATGGTACTCTTATCGAAGCCCGTGCATAATCTAATAAAAAGTTGCTGAGTCAACTTGAGAGAATCGGTTAGAATAGATTTTGTTCGTTATTTGTCATTTTGAAAACGGAAAATTTTTCTCGACGATAAAGTGAAATTTGAAGTTTAGTACTGATTAGTTACGTTAGCAAAATTAAAATTAGAAGCGAGTAATAACAATTTATTTACTGAAAAAAAAGTATGGCAGGCAAGAACGAAGTCAAGAACAAAACTGCCACCGCTGCTCCTGTAAAACTTTTTACTCGAGCGGAAGTGGCAAAACAAGCCAAATCTTTGGAAACATGGATCATCATTCACAACAAAGTCTACAACGTCACGTCATTTCTCAATGAGGTTGCAGTTTTTCAATCGAATATATTACAAATTAATATATCTTTTTGATTTTATTTTATTAAAACAATATTAATTGTAATAATGAGTAGTCTGACAAAAAAAATATAATTTATATTAAAACAAATTTCTTGCTATCCTTATAAAATACTTATATTAAGACTGGTATTAAAACTGGTATATATATTTATTGATTGTATTAATATTTAGCACCCTGGTGGTGAAGAAGTACTCTTAGAACAAAATGGATGTGATGCAACTGAGGCTTTTGAAGATATTGGACATTCAAGCGATGCAAGAGAGTTGATGGAACCGTTAAAAATTGGTGAACTAGTAGAAGTAAGTCATAGAGAGAGAGAGAGAGAGACAGAATTAAGTAAAAATACTGAATAAATTACCAAGACTTTTAAATACATAATCAAGTATGTAAAAAGTCAGTAAAAGTTCATATATCAATTGCAAAACTTATCAAAATTAAAATTGAACTAGGATATCAGAAAAATAGGATATCGGACATACTCAAAAATCAATTAAATTATTATTAGTTTTATTATTTTTATCCTTCTCAGTAAAAATTAATAAAATAATGAATAAGTATTAATGTTGGTCCACAATTGGTGTAATAATCTTTTAGTTTTTTGTTCTAAAACTAAGAATAATTTCTAATAAAAAGCATTTTCTGCACTGTTAAAATTAGAAATTACAATGTCTGATGGTACAGGGAATATCTTTAGTTGAAAATTATCTTACAATTTTGGCTTTAAAGTAAAAAATTGAACACTTACGTTATCTATTGTTGACAATAACAAGAGATTGCAAGAATTAAGTGACACACATATGGAGCAAAATATATATGAATTCTCATTAATATATACTTACTATATACGTTGATCAAACATAAGGTGTCTTTAGACTCTAGCAAAAAAGGAAATGTGAAAGAAATTGCAACTTGCAACTATAAAAATATATATGTTAGTGAGGAATTTATAGCTTTATGCATATACACTATTTTATTCCCATGATCTTACATTATTAATTGTAGACAAGGACTTATATAACTAGGAAGTTACTGATTTTCATGTGGAATATTAGAACAGTACTCTATTCTTTAAGAATCAGACGACTGATACATTTGGTTGATTTTTATATATACTCGATATGCTCTGTTTCTTAATCCATTTATGAAAGTAATGAATGAACAATCAATATTTCTATTTAAAATCTATCTATCTCCCTTATAGAAAAGTATCACTGGCTGTGATAAATTGGCCAGTAATAAATAGTAATTTTATTACTCATATGAGTAATAAAATTATTGAACGACAATAATTATCACTAGCCAAATTATTACTTATCAGTATTACATTTCTATAAGGGCTATTTTATTGATTTGATTTCAAATTATATTATCACTGATATTATATGTAGATTTTTGTCGTATTTGTGTGTGGGTGTGGGTGTGGGTGTGGGTGTGGGTGTGGGTGTGGGTGTGTGTGTGTGTGTGTGTGTGTGTGTGTGTGTGTGTGTGTGTGTGTGTGTGTGAGTGAGTGAGTGAGTGAGTGAGTGAGTGAGTGAGTGAGTGAGTGAGTGAGATATGTATTTCTTTCTTATTATTTATTCGAACATATTCCAGGAGGAGAGGACAAAAGATACAGAAAAGAAGACTATAGATTGGTCTAATGACAACTCTGATGAAAACAATTCTAGGTATGAACTTTTTCATCTATAGTAATTTTTGTTTAAAAACTTAATTTATAATAGTGTTCGGAATTATTTGCTTTTTTGAAGTGACTTTTGAGGGCGACGACTATTTTCTTCCTCGTCCGTCGAACTTAACGACTGACTATTGTGATTAATCTTATGCAATTTATAAGATTTATGAAACGCTTCCTCTAATTACTGTAAAGTTCTTATCAAAATTAGTGTTTTATTATAGTTATAATAATATATTGGTAGCATACATGGAAATACAGACAGAGAGGACTAGTTATAAGAACTTTTTAGAAACAAAGGAGTTTTTGACAAGTTTTATGAAGTTGGTTCTAATATTAAGCGTAACAATCGTCTTTATTTGGTAAATGGGTGAGTTAGAGTAGTGTTTGTCGCACATAGAAAAAGGTAAGCAATTAGACCAAATTTGTCTTGCATATTTTTGTGCTAAAAGTAAAATTCTATATTTATTGTTCATTACATGCTGAAGAAAAATAGAATGATGTTTTCAGTACAAAAGAATGTAAGGTGAACTTAGTTTTTAACGGTAAAAATTTACTAATTAATTGATTATTCTTATTATTCTGATTATTCTGATTATTCTTAGACTGTAAGGAAAAACTCACACCTTTGTGGAAAAGTAGAAAGGCAGAAGCCAATTAGAACTCACGTTGGTGGTCAAGTAGTCACAATTTTTCCTTTTCTTTCAGCATGAGTTTTGATTGAGTGTGTTCAGAAAACATTATTGATTACTCAACTGTTGAGTGAATGTTCACTAAACAAAAAGGATGTCTTCTAAATAACTATCTATTAGATAGTCTGATCTGTGCATTAGTGAAATGTTGTAGAGCGAAAACATAACTTATTTCTGCAAAATATTAGGTTTGTTTTTTCAGCTAAATTGTTCTAGTGGTGCAATAGAGTGAGAAGAATATAAGATATCTCACTTTAACTTATTGTACTAATGTAGCAATGTAGTTGAAAATAATAGACCATTGATAAATAGTTCCGGTTTAATTGTCGTGGCGTAAGGCTGTTCGAGCCTGTTTGGACATGTTTTGTGATTTTTGTGGAATGCTTTGAAATTATTTCCAAGGAATTTCATTTAGAAATAGAGATTTGAGAAGATTAGGGGAAAATATATTAGAAGAAGAGGACAGTGTGCTAAATAGCTATAAATATAATCGGAGAAGACTAAAGGTACGGTGACTTAGTCACTAATTAGAAAAAAATATTGATAAATATTAACACTAACCACTTTTCAATAACTCATGTATTTTTTCAAAATTCATTATACTGTAAGAAGCATTATTACAGATGTTACAAGCATTATTATAGATACATATTGTTATTTATCAGTATACAAATACGTGAATTTGAAATGATTGTAGTATGTTGTGTTCAGTGAGCGTATTTGAAAAACGCTCCAAAAAATGGTATCCGTTCACTGATGTTCTGAGTTGCGCCCACTGATCACAGTGCGTTCAGAGAACGATCACTCAACGGCTGTGTAACAGTTACGTCTCCTGAACGCATCCAATAGCTTCTGCTTTTCTATTTTCTTTTAAAGGTGTGAACTCTCTCTAAAAAAATCATCAATCTACAATGTAGATTGTTGTTTACAATTTGCTTACTGCTTACGTTTTTCTATGTATTTCCGATATCAAATGGGTTCTACAATACGTCGTTTGTCGGAGCCGGATGTCGGAACGTAGTCGATGGTGTAATGAGAAAATTTATTTTCCGTAAACGAATTCTCATTAAACTATCGACTGCGTTCCGATGTGCAACTCCGTCAAACTACATCGTAGAACCGATCTTAGAGTTTTTTATATACAAATTGCCGTAATCAACGTGAGACGTAAATACATTCTACAATAAGGTTTGTTCTACAATACGTCGTATGTCGCTGTCATGACGGAGTGCAGCCGTTGGGCCAATCAGAGGATTTATTTTTCGAGACGAGTTCTTTTCATTGGACCATCGACTGCATTCCGACTCCGACATACGACGTATTGTAGAACGGGCCTTAGGCCGGTTCTACAATACTTCGGAGTCGGATGTCAGAACGCAATCAATGGTCCAATCAGGAGAACTTATCTCGAAAAACAAATCCTCTGATTGGCCCATTAACTGCACTGCGACATACGACGTATTGTAGAACAAGCTTAGTCGTAACACAACGCATAACCAATGATGTATACACATAAACCAAGCATTCCTATACTTACGCTGTACCAGCGAGTGAAGCCGGAATTTCCGGCCTAGAAGTTGGCAGTTTAAAACAGTGAGAAAGTTGATTTGCTTCTAATGATTTCTCATCGTATAGAAAGAGTATAGCCGCTATCAAGCTGTTAAGTGCTATATATAATGCAGTACAGAATTAAAAGAATAAAACCGTGTATTTTACTTATCTCGATATAAAATTTATATTTATAATGTTTTATACTGTGTATAAATAATCACAGCAATTGCTCTTATCCTGGGGGTCGATTGTGTATCTCGAAATGGAGTGAAAATTACAAAAGTGAGTAAATTCACTAGGCATTGACCAATGAAGTTACAAATATTCTAGTAAATTTGCTGCATTTTCACTCCGTTTTAAGATACACAATCGACCTCCTGTTCTCATTCCACTGTCAAATGAAAAAAGTTAGGTTGTTATAACGGGATACAGTTCTTGAATAAGGTTTAGTGCTGTAAAGAGTTCTATTTAGTGCTGTAAGTGCTTCAGAGCGACGAATAGAAAAATTACATTGCTTTATTTAACGTTTTAAAGTATTTGGAGTGTTAAACGGAACCTTTTTCTTGACAGTCAATAATATAGAGTGAGAAAGCACTAAAGATAAATCAACTTTTTATTTTAAACTGCCAACTTTCGGCTTCACTTTGCGGACAAAATGCTTGATCTATGTATATATGTCATTGCGTATACACATAAAAGTGCGGCTCCAATGGTCCGTAAATATATCTGTATCTGTAACCATAAACGGAATCGAGTCGTGATATAGGTGTATCCGTAAGGCCGGTTCTACAATACGTCGTATGTCGCTGTCGAATATCAGGGCAGCAATCAGGTAACTTTGAGCGGAACTTTTCACTTTTCGCTCATTCTGATTCCGCGTGAACTTTTTCACGAATCATAGTGATTACGTATCTAGAGGTGCGGAAAGTGAAATCACTAAATCCAGAACTTAAAAAGTTTAATGTTGTTGAAACCTTCAAAATTATAAAAGGAAAATTAAAAAAATTTTTTTTACATATGTGTATATTTATCACAATATTTACTCTCATTTTGTTAATAACGTTTTATTTTGTAGTAAAATGTAATATAACGCAACATCTACTAGATTGTTTATATTTATCGATATAAAGCCAGAAATTTGGATTTCGATATTTCAAAAGGATTATTCACATCTTGTAACTCTTTTCTACATATTTTTTATATATATTTTTTTATATATAGTTTTTTATATATAGTTTTCAAGTTAGAGCACCTACCATATTATATTACAATGATAATATATTACAAGTAGTTATTTAGAAACGTTTTATAAAATAATAGCGTTTGTCAATATAATACGTAATCTAAATTATTAATTTCTTTCTCCGAATTGGTTGATTTACTAATCTAAATTATCCACAGACTTCTATATAATATCTAGACTGCTAAATAGGTATAGTTTAGTTCAGGATTGTTTGGTCGGAAAAATACTTAGAGCATATATATATATGGAGGAAGAATTGCGTATGTCTCCTGTAGACCAAAAGTGTCTCCAAGATCTGTGCGAGAGAGAAAGGTATACATTCCTATTCCTCCTCTGTGCGCATGCGCCAACATGTGTTAGTTGTTGCTGGACTACAAAATTGTTGGTTTCAATATTTTTTTACTTGAATTCTATCAATTTTACCGAAAAATGGCAAGAGATAAAAATTGTTTATTTTCTTCTCATAGAGCTCGGAGAATTTTTTTCAGAATTTTATATTAACTTTTTAGTATTGCATTTTTTTGCGTTTTCTTGCATTTTCTTGAAGTACTAGAAAGTTAATACAAAATTCTGAAAAAATTCTCAAAGCTCTATGAGAAGAAAATAAATAACTTTTATCTCCTGTCAACTCTATAATCTAACCTAACCTAATCTCAACTTCAACGCATGCGCATAGAGGACGAATAGGAACGTATAGCTTTCTCTCTCGCACACATTTTGGACACACTTTCGTGCCAGCATTCCCCCTCCATATATATATATGTTCTAAGGAAAAATACTATCCGCTATCTTTGAAAAGACCTCACATACGTGACCTGAGTGGCAATATGTGAGTGAGAGGAAGCAATATGCTATAGTAATATGCATATAGCAATACGCTATATGTGTCATTACTACTACTCCGATATGATATGATCCTTCCAAAGATGGCCGCCCGATATTTTTCCGACCACTCCCTAAATACGGATATTAGCAGTCTAGTTTATATATAGAAATCTGTGAAATTATCACATATTTCGCAAGTATTAAGCGTGCATTTTGAGTCTAAATCAGTTATGTTACTAGATTTTATATTACCGCCACCAAGTTTAATAGCGAAAAAGTTCACGTGAAAAGTCCCATGCTTTGCCGAGTTACGTGATCACGAGTTTACGTGAAACTTTTCACTTTTCGCCATTTTGCCTTTAGGGAAAAAGTTATGTATATCGCTGCCCAGGGCAGCGATCATGTAACTTTTCCCCTAGGGCGGAAACGTGAAAAGTGAAAAGTTTCACGTGAACTCGTGATCACGTAACTCGGCGAAACGTGGAAACGTGAAACTTTTCACGTGAACTTGTTAGCCATGAAATGTGCTAGCGGAAAAGTGAAAATCTAATGACTTGATGAATGCGGAATATATTATGCTACTGCTGTGATGAGATACATGAAACAACAATCCTAACGTTATAGCGATGTTTTTAAGGTTAATATGTTCTATAGCCGATGGATATAGCTGATTTGGCCGATATTGAAATCATATAGGAACCATGTTTAGTGATTTGTGCTTTTCACACATAGAGTTACTTGATTGCGTGAACAATGAAAAAGTTCACGTGAAATCGATAGAACGAAAAGTGAAAAGTGAAAAGTTTCGCTCGAAGTTACGTGATCGCTGCCCAGAACGCAGTCGATAGTATGAAAATCCACCAATTGTCCAGAATAGAAATGAAAAATTCTGATTGATGGATTCTCTTATGTCTTATGTGTTATGTTACGACTAACGGCTTATTGTAGAAAGCCTATAAAGGTCGTTCTACATTAGTTGCAAGCAGACGAAATTCTTATTGCGACAGCCAATCAGAAGCATCAGTGGTGTTATTGACGCTTCTGATTGGTTGTCGCAACAATCAGAGTTACAATCGACTTGCAACTAATATAGAACGACCTTAATGGACTTTCTACAATAAGCTGTTAGTCGTAACACTTAACGCATAAAGCGCATTCTACAATAAGCCATTAGTTGTAACACATAAGGCATAAGAAAATCCACCAATTGCAGTCTTTCAGAATAGAAATGAAAAATTCTGATTGGTGAATTTTCTTATACCTTATGTGTTATGCGTTATGTGTTACGACTAACGGCTTATTGTAGAAAGATCATAATGGGCTTTTTACAATAAACCGTTAATCGTAACGCATAACGCATAAAGCATATTCTACAATAAGCTATTAGTCATAACATAATCGTAACGCATAACTCATAAGGTATAAAAAAATTCACCAATCAGAATTCTTCATTTTTATTCTGAAAGACTGCAATTGGTGTTATTTGATATTCTGCAAGGGCCTTAAGACGTACCGTAATAATTGACCAATCACGTTAAAGGCCTTCACACACACTTTCCGTAACAGTAACCGTAAGACGTAACGTAAGAATTGACCAATTACGATGGAATATTCACAAAAATGGCGATCTTATGTTTCGACGATTCTCAACGTGATTGGTCAATTCTTACGTTACGTCTTACGGTTACTGTTACGGAAAGTGTGTGTGAAGGCCTTAAGAATCATCGAATCGTAAGATCACCATTTTTATGAATATTCGATCGTAATTGATCAATTCTTATGGTGTCTTACATTACGGCTACGGCAATTTGTGTGTGAAGGCTCTTACAGCTCTTGTGTCATCACTGAAATCATCGACATATAATACTGGACGGAGCATTATGCCGAAATCATATTGACAGACGTAGAAAGAGACAAGACGATGTGTAGGTAGAAGCGGTTTATGAAGCAACAGGACCACGAGGCACTTATAATTTTATTATTTTAATTAATTTTTTTTATAACAGTAAGAATATAGGATATAAGGAAAAGGTGAAATATAAAAATGTGTATAGAATATATAAGAAAATTGTAATATATATGTATTACACGTGCAACATGTAATCATATGTAGTAACTCATATGTAGTAACGTATGTTTCCAACTTTTAAGGATACTATACTGTTCCCTTTCTTCTTAGACAAAATTCAGCCAATAAACAAAAAATAGAAAATAGAAAGAGAGATCTGTGCTCACACATCTAGCTTTTTTTTTCTAAGTCTCTCAACACAAAGTATTAAAAAAGTCTTGCCAAATGTTCCGTCCAGTACTATATGTCGATGCCTAAAATATATATTGCCTGGAACGCGCGCTGCTTCGTGAGGACTGCGAGATGAGAGAGAGATCCTTATTTCCTCTGTTATATTTGTCTGATTCATAGTATAGTCGAGAGTGGGGAGAATGTTATATTTTATACTGTACCAGACAATACTATGAATCGACTATACTATGAATCAGACAAGTATAACAGAGGAAACAGAGACCTCTCTCTTATCTCGCAGTCCTCATGAGACAGCGTGCGTATCAGATAGTATATATTTTAGTCTCATAGTCGCGGCCATCTTAATTAATGACGTCAGAAACGAGGAGACGTATGTTTAAAATTCTTATGGAATATATTGAAATAAAATCTTATGTCCATAAAATGACACTTGTAATCGATTGAGCACATTTACAAAATATTTCGAAAATTCTTTTTTTTACTCTAACAATCAATAAATAGCCATAAAATTAATGTAACAAAATCATGAGAAAAGATAGGTTAAAAAGATGATTAAAAAGAAAGAGGTCACATCAATTTTACGGTTATTTATTAATTAGTACAAAAGGAAAGTTTTTATAATATTTTATAAATGTGCTCAATCGATCCGAAAAATGGGTGTATATCAGTTGGACACGGGGCAATTGGACACAGTCCAATCACAAGTCGCTGTTCCAAGGGACCCTACAAATGTCTCTAATCACACGGTGCTGTGATTGGCTGTGTCCAAATGCACCGTGTCCAAGTGTACCGCTCCCCCGAAACATTATTCTATAGACATATCTTTTTATTTCAACGTATTTTGTAAGGATTTTGGTTGTGTTTCTCGCTTTTGACATCATTAATTGAGAATTCCGCGACAAAGGACTAATAGGTCTATTTTGTAACTTTTAATGACAATGTCATTATATTGTCATTGCGTAAATATAATATATAATATAGTAGAAAATGCAACGAAAGAGAGAGAGAGAGAGAAAGGGAGAGGAGAGAGATAGAGATATACCTTGCTAGTGATATTGTCGTTAAGAAGTTACAGAATAGGTTGTAAGAGCCTTAAGGTGAAGAAAGTAGATATAGCCTTCAAAGATTTTTTCGAAAATAAAAGTAACTCCGAGCACTGCATTATATCAACATTTTATTTCAGTATCCATAAATTAGTGTATTTCATTTCTCATAGAACAATTTTATTTTTATAGTTCTACTTAGAAAAAAATAGATGAAAATCATAACTGTTGGAATAAATGACTGAAATATTTGCAAAGTAAACAAATATTTATTGCCTTTTAAGATTTATTGTTCATAAATAATCATTGCTGCATCATAATGTAATGATTGGCAATTGCAGTGGTTCTTGGCGTTCCTGGTTAATCCCCATTGCGCTCGGGATGCTCGCCACCCTTGTCTATCGCTACTTCATCAGTACACACTAAAAAGAATTCCAACTGAGGTCCAACAAGTCCCATTCTTCACGTTACTTGTTTATATATATATATATATATATATACATATATTAAACATTGACAGTTCTACAATAGATCGGTTTAGGTGTATGTCATGCAGCATTATAATTGTTTCTTATGAAGCAGATAGCGCTTGCTGGCCTAGCATTTAAAAATGGAAGAAATGGCCGACGATGTATTATAAATAAATATATAAAAACGCGCATTTATATATTTGTATGTGTATATGTTGGACGTACATATGTACGCGCTACACACAATATTGGACATATATGTATATGTCGTTTATTATTCAGACATCATGAAGTTCCCTGAGTTGAGAAAATAAACTAATTTAAATCTTTAAAAAGAGAGAAAAACCCCTTTAAACTTTAAGCGAGTGAAAGAAGTGTCGAACACGAAAAAACGAAGATTCAAAAATAATTCGGATATACTGCGTAAAACCTTATAGCAATAGCTTATTTATTGCATTTTGCACATTAATTATGAAAGAAATTGAATGTTGAATACATCGCCAATAAGAAGAAATAAAAAGTAATTTGATATTTGAGGCTTTCGCGGTATCCATGGATTAGATTTGGTTTCCGGGTTTGAGCCACGTGAATTTTTCTTTGTCTAATTCCGACGTTTCGCGAACGTTTGAGTCCGCTTCATCAAAGAGGAACGACCTTCCTGATGAAGCCGACTGAAATGTTCGCGATACGTCGGAATCAGACAAAAAAGTAATTCTAAAACAGTTCAAAGTTGGACGTCTTATGTGTTGTGTAACAAGTATAATTAAATTAATAATTACATTAATTATAGTACGGTTCAATAAATATTATTTTTTTAGTTTTAGTATGTTACCATGGAATTAATGCTGACATTAATCTTTTCCTTATGCGATTTTAAACAATCCTTATTATTTTGTGATAAGATTTGTGCATTAGCGCGAGGGAACAATGCATTTATTCATGAATATATGATATTCATATATGATGTGTTAGTGACATTTTTTATTGACATTTTCTTAAATTTAGTAGTTTGATGAATGTTTTATTCTCGATTTTAACGATTGATATTCTTATAATTTGTGGAAATACATATTAACTTTTGCGATCCTATATCGAGTTTACCATAAGATCACCTTTTGTTTTAGTTGATTTGGTAAACTAATTTTTTACTCATTAATGCTATAGTTGATGTAAATATTGTATGTAAATATTAGTTGATATTAATATAAATATAATTAAATTAGTTACATATTGAAATATTAAAATAAACGCAAACCACACGACATTATCGTTGAGTAAATAAATTCCTGAATTGAAAGTCCTGAGTTAAAAAGAAAGCCTCTCGATAAATAATTCGGAATGTCAAAGATTAATATTTTTCTCTAATTATAACATTCGAAACATTTTGGATCTTTATAAGATTAAATCATTTAAAAATTTTCGAGGTAGACATTTGAACGATTATATCGCTACATATATGTACAGCAACAGAATCGAAAGTGAAATCCCAGACGGGATATCCTTTGTATAGGATGTCAATGGCTGCGTTCAGCAGAGAAAGCTGCTTTGTAACTGTTGTAAAATTCGTGAATCTGATTGGATACATGCTCTTGGATTCAACCAAAATTAAGAGCACTCCAATCAGATTCACGAATTTTACAACAGTTGCAAAGCAGCTTTCTCTGCCGAACGCAGCCATTAAGTAGCCCACACGAGCGAGAAAGAAAAAGAAAGATAATTGTCCTACACGTTCTTGTAAGTAAAATGTTGGTGATAAATAACGAGACAAATGTTGGTGATAAATAACGAGACAAATTTAGGTCTTCGATGGTGGCGACGATGGCGACGATGGCGATGGTGGCAACCATGGACGTAATGGTACCTTTTCATGCTTCGCTTATCGCTTGTTTTGAACGATAAAGGAGTCATGTGACTGGATTGTCGCTGGCGATTAACTATCGAGCATGAAAAGGGTTTCCCAGCGACGTGATTTTAATGTGGTAGCGTCAGACGAGAAATTCTATTAACAATTGCTTCAAAATAAATATAGTTACAATATCACAATTAGCAAAGTATTATAATTGGATAACTGAATGTATAAAAATGATCAATGATAATTTCACATAATCCACACGTTTGAACACGAGATTCATTCTACAAAAAATATTTTAGAAAATACCTTATATGTATACAATAAATATTTTATTTATTTCAATGCTTTTTTTGTGTACATTACATAAAATATTATTTTTATATTTTTGATATAACCTATATAATTAAAAATAACATATTTATATTTACATGTAAAAAAGACATTAAAAATATTATTAATATTAAAGACATTATTGTACATGTTCAATATATTCATCTTACAATATTATATATACCGTTTCATTATCTGATGTTCGAATATTTACACTTGCTAATGTCGCTTGTACTTAGAAAATTTGGACTACAATTTCACGTCACTAGTGACTGCACGACGTCATCATATCGCAGAAAACGAGCGATGAGCGATACGTGAAAAGGTACCTTTTAATACATGGACGGAGCGAAAAGTGTGATTATACAAGGGGCTGTGAAGCCTAAGGGGGAAGAGGATTACATCGCGGCCATGTTGGTATAGGAGGTTTGTGTCTATTTTCACGTCGCGACGTAATATTATCCGTTAACCGAGACATCTCAAATATTTGTAATAATTAATAGTCCTTGTAACAATTAATAGTCCTTACATTGCTGGTTTTGTTGTAAGTTTTGTTGTGTCCAAACTCTCTGTAGCGATAGAACAAATCAGGAATATTCTTTAATTAATATTAAGAATCGTGGAGATTGACGTTTCTCCTTCATATGATGTAATTACTATTTGTAAAATAGCAGAGACTGTTTTACTTTTTTTACTTTATGTGAAAGTAATAAGCGTTTAGTAACACACATGATTGAAGTTTTTCTTCTACAGCAAGTGTTGCGCCATATAATTGAAGACAATAATATCTTTTATAATTTACAAGAGCATTCCTACGAACAAACTCCGTTACAGAATTACATAGTTCATCTAAAAGAGCAGTTGCTTATAAATAACCGAAACAGAAAACAATGTACGTATAAGGCAGCATTTTAACAAAATTTTTAATTGTATAAGGTGTATTGTTTAAGGGACAATAGTGAAGAATTGTTCAATGCGATTGATGTTGCCACGATATAAAGAATTTGTCTACAGTTCTTTATTATATATATACTTTTATTATACAATTTTACTCTTTAATAAATTATATATCAGACAATATGTACACAATGTATACGTACTTATTTTCTTAATTAATTTTAATATTTATCCTCTTGCACGCATTCAAACACGCCCATTATTTAATAATACACTGCATATATTTTTTATTAATTTTTTTATTTTTTTACTAAGAAAGTTATTTGTCTAAGACGTTAATATAGACCACACTCTGTCAAAATAGCGACCGTCACTATCTTGGTATATCAATTCCGTTACAATAGACATTTTATTTCCCTCACCCCTTGGGCTTTATCCCCGCGACAATTCATTCCGTCCATGTATTCTTACGTCCATGGTGGCGACGGTGGCGACAGTGGCGGCGGCGGCGGCGTCACGTCGTCGATATCGAGCGAATTCCCAAGCGCCGACGCCGGCTCTTCCTCGTTCTCTGCTTCCCTCTCTCTGACATCCTTGTTCTAAAGCTACTAAACGAACATATCGCTCAGTAAAGCGCGAAAGTCGGTGGAAGCGTGTTGTAGAACGTAGCAGAAACTTGAACAGACGATAGGTGTTAGTATATTAAAAGAGAAAAATTCGAAAGAAGAGGTATTCTAAAGAATTTTTTGGCAAATAGACACGGTAACTGGAGCAAATCGAGCATTATAGCGACACCGTGAGAACGGAAGAAAAGAAAGAAAAAAGTTAATTCTTAGATAAGAAGAAGAAAATAGAACACGAAAGAGATAAAGGGCGAACGTACGCGCGCGCTAAGGACATTGAACGACAAAAAGGACAGACATCAGCAAAAACTGGTCCCGGAAGTGAAAGGGTAGAGGTCAAGAAAGAGTGGAAGAGGAAAAAGAAGCGCGAGAGGACAGCAGCACCTGCGTAAAGGACGCACGAAGAACAGTGGTTACACTGAAAAGTCGGCGTGGTGTCATGAGAGGCGGTCTCACGGTCCGCCCTTCTTATCGGTCCCTCTTAGAGTCATGCATGTCGCGCCCCTCAAACGAGGTAAGTACCACCGAGTTATCGAAGCAACTTTCCGTGAGCAGAGTAGAAACCGATCGCATATGTATAGTAGATGCGTTGACACCTGCTAATGATCAGATTGTCCTTAAATTGTACATGTGTTGGAAGAGCTTCTACCGCCTATAATTAAATCTAATTCAATTAAAGCTCGAATATTCATACTGGTTAAAAAAGAAAATTTTATCGTTATGTCTCACTGTGTGTGAACCCATTGAACTTGGATTAATGGCCGCGCGTGTTCCGCTGATTTATATGCGACGCCCACATTTGTTTGCAATAGAATCCATTGGCGCATTTTTTTTGTGATAGTCGCGCCGCAAACGACTAATACAAAGAGCTTTTAAGAAAAGGAAATTAAAAAAAAGAAATTTTTAAAGTTCAATAGATACAAAATTACGAATAAAAAAGAAACCAATCTGTTTCGTTCGAGAACGACATAAATACATTTTTTTTATTAAAAAAATGAGGACATTGGTATACTTATTTAATAGTTGATAAACTCAATTGAATTTTATTCCTTGGACTAAAAATAGTAATGAACGACAAAAAATATAATTTTAATAAGAATATTTTACCATACAAAAAGACACACTATCTATCTAATATTATATGACAATAATATAACATTATTTCAAATTGTTCTTAGAATACTGTACAAACAGAAAAATCTACTGAGGACATTCTGCGATATAGTCTAACCTATTAATACTATATATGAAAAAGAGGAGAGAATTGAGAAAAAAATGGGGAAGAATAAATAATAAATAATAAACAATAAATAATGAACAAATAGTAATAAATAATGTTCAAATAATGATAAGTAATAAACAATGAATAATGAATAAATAATAATAAATAATAAATACTGAACAAGTAATAAAATAATGACTTCTGCTTTCTTCTATAAATTCGTAAAACATGTGGAAAATATTCAATTAAAAAAAGTAGGTTTAAACATATCTGCATCTTTTTATTATCATTGAATTACAAAGTGAACAATTTCTATCTATACTAACATCAATAGCGAGTATCGATGATTTTATTCTGGCTGTAATAACTCCAGCACACACACATTAGGAAGCATCGGGGATACTCTTATTAATTATGAAACATAAGGAGTAGTTGAAGGTCGGCGAGAGAACCACGTGGAAACGTATAAAACATTCTTTTGTCGTAATCGATGAAAAACGATGCTTGATGCTTCCGCGTAAAAATGTTTTCCTTTTGCAAAAATGAAAAATATTTTACTTTTCATGTGTTATTTTTTATTTCGTATAAAAAAGGAAAACATCTAGACTTTTATAAAATGTGAAAAAGAAAAGATATTTAGAGTATAAGTTTCATTTATATTTTAAATGAAGAAAACACTGCCGCTTTTTACAGATATTATTGCACAACAAAAGGGTTAAACGGGGATTTGTGCAGCATACCTCCCGTTATTCGAATAAATTTAGAAGTAAAATAAAATCGTGTTGCAAAATATTTCTGATATACTATCAATATTTTCAATCAATAATTTCGAGATATTCGATGTAATTATATCTATAGGCGCCAAATGTTTAATGTCGCAAAAGTATTCAAATGAATTGAAGAACGTTTTGAAAAACCTGTTGGTCGTCTTTGTATTTTCGAATGTTGTATGTCAAGAAGAAGTATCCGATGATTACTCTCGACTACTTATAGTTAGTTATAATCATCTCATCACGTCGGACTTCCTTTCTTTTGTCAATGAGGAACAAGTTTTTACGAGACGTGGTCTGGAGAAGATAAGATTGTTAATCACTGTGATGTAGTATCAAGCCGCGGGAAACTGCGCATTGTGCATAATCCTACATTTGAGTTTCGCACTTAGTCGAGAACCGAATCGGGATCAAATATAATCAAGTCAACGATCGATTGAATACTATTGTTTAATGATCAATGATTAATTATTGAAAAATAATAATGATTATTATCGAATAATTGGTAATTATAGAAATGTAGCAATATAAAGATATAATCGAAGCTAAAGTTACGAATATAATACATAATTCGAGTATATCTGCGGACATATCCGATAACGATCTCCGTGACGAGTATCGGCCGCTTTCTCACGACTGTTACCGCATAATTGTTACAAGTGCTTAGGCGCGCGATAAAATTAATCGGCCAAACGTCTGCTCGAATGGTGAGGCCTGCTAATTCGCGATTAATCGATCAATAAAGCAATCACGAAGCGCCTATCGGAGTTATTTCGCTCTCGTCATCGGTGGTTTGAGATTCGCCGGTCAATTTACTGTTAATTCTTTAGTGATCCACGTTTCTAATTTAAGAATATATATTAATCTAAATATTGTACCATTTTGTACCCATGTGATCAAAACCGCTTAGATCTTTTCTCTCAATGAGAAGCACTGCATATATTATTATGTGCTAATTTGTAGTATGAATTTATTGATGAAATGCAGTATACATGGAAAAAATGTTTGGTTTTATTAATCAAATTTCAATTTGAAATATGAATGAATCAGAAAATTTCGGTTGAAGTTACCAGAATTCTGTTCCAGTAAACTAGAAATTTTGTTAACTTGAACAAAATTCTGGTAAATTTAATTAAAATTTTTGATTTGTTTATATTTCACCGTAAATTTAGTTAATTTAAGCAAACTTTTTTTTCGTATCAGTTGGTGTGGAAAGAATGATTGGTTTAAACATCATGTCATAAGTATGCCGTGATGTTATCGTTGTCGCTTCCTACTTCTCTCTTATCTTCTATAAGATTATCCTTCATGTTCTCTCTCTCTCTCTCTCTCTCTCTCTCTCTTACACACACACACACACACATATACATGCACAACACAACACACATACAAACATCCCTTTCTTTGCTGATCAGAGCTCGTTGAAGACCGTCTATTTCGCATGTGTCTATTCGTGGCCACTTCGGCACGTTGCATGTTCATTTTGGAATGTTAAAAATAAGTTCGTGATTCGGCGCGTATCAAATCAACCAATGGTTTCCGAGCAATTGTAAGAAGAGACATATATAAGGTAACGGTCTTCATTATAAGTTATTTAAGATTAGAATAACTTTCACTCATTTACATAAATTTATCAATTAAATATTAAAAGACATTATTAGTATAAGTAACAATCATCTCAACGTCATAGTTTTAAAACAAAATTATAAATAAAATTATAGATAAATTAAAATTTATATAAATTAATTCTAAATTTTAGAATATTATACCCAAGCAAAAATGTATCTAGTAGAGCAGATTTCAATACTAGTAGCTAGATAGTAATGATTAGATACATAGTAATTAGCTAGATAGTAATGATTAGATAACAGTCACTAGCTCGTGACTGGCTAAATATTCCTGCTCAGTCTTTTGAATGTCAGGACTATCTAGTAACTATACCAATTACATAGATAGTGGCTAGATGAAAAAGATTACACAGTAACGAGATGAAAATCATTGGTAAATCCTGAATAGAAATTGGATATCAGAACTGTCTAGTACTTATACCAATTATAGTTACAAGTTATTTTTTTGTATTTAACTACTAGATAATTTTTCTGGTACATCCACTAGGAGAAGTAAGCGTTACATTCCTAGCTAGTATTGATGTAAGACCCAACTTTTCTGTGTCATTACTAAGCAATCACTAGATTCAATTTCTGTTCGAGTATTATTTAGAAACTTTTATACGCGAATAGGGAAAGAATCGGCAAAACAAAGCACTTTTTAAAGTTGTCAAAGAATGGATTAAATTTTTTTTTAATAATTAAATAGGTATTAAATATGAACTGTTTTATGAAAAAAATGAAAAAAAAAACAGAATAAAAAAGGATTTTCAGGAATAATTAAGACGCGAAATCACTATAGAACGTTAAAAATAAGAAAATTCTCCTGAATTTTTTTTGAAGAATGTATTTATCCCAAATCGCTTCCCAACTTTGTAGTGTTTTCGCTTGTACATTAAAGCATTAAAAAATATTTTTAAGTTAAGAAGAATGTTTATAAATTGTATCTAGTAAAAGAAATGTTGAGCATCGCAGCAGAGTCGGCGCAAAACGGTGTGCACTGACTCCTGTTGTATTCGTCTGAAACCAAAATAGGGAAAAATTTTTTACTTTTTATGGACATTATTTGTCGATGAACCTAAACAAGTTGAAAAGAAATTTTATAATTGACAAAAAAGCAGCTCTTGAATAAAAAACTCGATTTTTATTCATAAAAATCCATCTTTATGTATGCGAAAAAATTGTTTAAATAAATAATGTTACGGATTTTATCAATTAGCAAATATAATAAACTAAATGTATGTAAAAGGACAACTCGATTGGTTAAATAGTTTTTTAATTATCTTGCAAATCAGTTTGGAAGAAGTCGTTTCGAGAAAAACGCGTTTAAAGGTTCAGGTATAGAAAATTATAAACTTACAGCTGTTTTCTGCTAATCCGCTATTCTTACATCATACAGTAAACCTCTCGCTTCTTCAAACAAGTTATTTTGCTCAAGTTGCTGTTTACTTGCTATTCGAGCCTCTTTATTCCAACTTAGACTGCGGCGTTCCTATCTCTTTATTCGCTCGGCGTCCTTACTATCAGTATATAACTTACATAGAGGCTCAATTTTAATTTCTAATATTTTCATTATCTTCAAAACAGTAAAGTAGTCTTCATTAAATATCCCAGCGGCAATATAGGCGGTGATTTCGGTGATTTTAAGGCTAGAATGTACATGCTTTGGAGCTAACTGCTAAATCGTACTATTAAAATTTTTACCCGCAATATTACTTAATTGATAAATACAAAGTTTTCAGGTTAGGAACTCATTTTACGTATTCATTCACACAAAGTTGACGATATTAGGTTAATTGTTAGATGTTATTTGATATAATAAATAAAACAAGCTATATATAGTATTTTTAACTATTATAAATGGTATTAGGCCGTTTATAGATTTTGAATTTGAACTTTATTCTATAAATTAATGAAAATAGTTTTTATCCGTTTCAATATATTTCTTCCTTCGAGAAATCGGGGGAACGAGGGCTAATAAATTCATCGAATGCCTTTTTTACATTTTGACTTCATTTTTTAAAACTTTTTTCAAAAATCCGTCAAGATGCTTAAATAGTGGTAGTCTGTTGGTGAAAGGTCAGGAGAGTAAGGAGAATGAAGAAGTTTATACTTCACAACAAAGAAGAACTGATTTCTAAACGCCGAATCATATTTCTTTCGATGAATTTATATGAATCCCATTTGTCCAGGTTTTTTTATCTTTCTCAAGGCTTTTAGATGTTAAGAAACTGTTGAATAACGAATTTTAATTATTCCGGAAATTTTTCGAACTATATAAATTTGCTTCGACCATAGCTTTCAAAATTCTAAAGATCAGACAAATTTTCAAGACATTTATCATCAGGTCTAAACTTTCCAAATCAGCCTAGTGCTTTGATTACTTGTAATATCATCGGCAAATGCTATATTAATGTTTCGTGTAAACTTGGCCACATTATGACCGAGTTTGAACTCATATAAGTAAATCATGCGAATTTCTTTATTTTTCATCTTGAATTAAAAATAAACCAAACCATGTATATCATAAATAAAGCAATGCACACATATTAATGTGGGGAACATGCATTTTTCAAATGATATATATACAACTATTCGCATAGTAAAAAGTGAACTACAAAGTAGTTTTATATTACTAAAAACGGTCATTTTATTTACAACAACCTACTATATTATTAATCTTAAATATATTTCAGGGTTTTTACATTTTATATAATAAAAAACATAAAACAATACATGATCATATGTTTTTTTGGTAAATATGCACTTTAATTTACCCTCTAACAATAACTTTCCTATTTACAAATATCATACAACACTTTTCTGAGTAACATATGAGAAATTTTAGACGTCATTCATTGTTTATTAAAAAGTTATTTACAAAAAAAGTTTTAGAAATAGGACTTACCTTTTGGACACAGTATCCATAAAAAAGTGATTTTTGGTCTGACTGTGTAACTGGGGGGCATGCTCACCAGACCCCCCCGCGTATCGCGTATCGCGACAGGAAGGGGACCAGTCTTTCAATCGGTTTAAACCCAGTCGGCTTAAGTTCAAAATTATAAACAAAAGAAGTTTCGTAAATATGGTTTTTTCACACTGTACATATGAAATGTATATTTTAGAAATTTTATGAAAAAAGATGTATTTTTTAAAGAGTAAGAATTTTTCACAAAAGACTACGGCCCTGCCGTAGTACAACGTGTCTAGGAGACATAGGCCCCCAGTTACACGATTAGAGACAGGCACCTTTTTTATTAATATTTAAAACTGTAGAAAAACTGTAGGAGATGCGCAAGTATTTCCATATTTCCATATACACTGTGTGCAAAAATTACATTCAATTGATAAAACTTTTTATTAATAACTTTTTAACAAACAATGAGCAATGCCTAAAACTTCTCGTATGTTACTCAGAAAGATGTATAATATATATAAATAGGAGTTGTATAATATATATGAATAGGAAAGTCATTGCTGAAGAGTAAGTTAAAGTGCATTTATCCGTATTTAGCGTCGAATTCGCTTATTATTTAAGTTGCATTACATGGCATAATTCGCAACAGGTAAAAATTGGCCGTATTTAGCGTCAAATGTGGAACAAATACTGTTCTGCTGTATCGTACGCAACTTTGCGATAAAAACATCGAAACATAACAGTGATAAGAGGCATACAATTTCGCCTGTATCTCATAACGTATTTACAATGCAATGCATATGCATGAGGGCAGCGAAAAATTGAGCAAATTGATCTTGCCTTGCTTCAAGCTGCTGACATATGTAAAGCGGATATTTCTGAAACGTTGCTGTTTCTATGGCTGGAGGTGCGTGCTTTAGAATCTTACTCTCTTTCTCTCTCTATTGTTCTGCCGCGCGCGTGTGTTTCTGGTTTCATGAGATGACGCAACTCCCCGTAACCTTCTCTGCTTGTGCAGCGCACGTACACTTACTATCCTTATAAGGGCCAATTTACGAATGAATACGTTGGGCAAGATGAAGAATTAGCATTTAATATGTCCGCAATCAATATAGAAGATAATCGACTTCGTAATTTCTTATTGAGAAACACTTATGGTATTTGTATCTTCAGTTTTTCGAAACATCTTACTTTTACACAATGTAAAAAGATATCTTGAAATAGAAAACGTATCACGCCTATCCAACATGGATTTTATGACTGTTTGCTCAAACAATTTTATTGATCGATAAAAAGCGAAATTAATAATATTTCAAATAATTTGATATGTACAGCTGTTAATACAAAAAGATTGTCCATAATTTTTGTCTCTATAAATAAGTTTATGAACTTATCCCTCTTATCCAACGGAAAAATTGACTTTTTAATGGAAGAATTCTTGCATTAGATAAAATGCGGGTAAGTTTACAAATCTAAAAATTACGGACAATCTTTTTATCCATAACCATACATTGGGTTTCAAAACGAGTAGAAAATACGCATTATTTATTATTGTATTATTATATATGTGTTATTTTAATTTTGGGAATTTAATTTTTATTAAAAAATACACTATATATATATATATATATATATATATATATATATGTTCGTTAGATGAATTCTACTAACAGTTTATTCCTGTATTACTAGAAAGCGTGGTAAAATAAAAAAATTTTACATAAAAAAGAGATACACACTGTGTGTGCCTTTTTTCATATAAATCTGTTTTTTCTTTAATTTTACTACGTTTTCTAGAATACACACATATATACATTATATTACATTCATTCTATGTAACAGTGGACTTCCATGTCCATTGAATGCTTTTTAATGAATTTTCATGAGAAATTTGTCTGACGGAGACAATATATATGTGAGCCACGTACATGTGGCTGCATTGAAAGCTTTAAATATTTGTTATGCGACAGACGGATTGTTACGAATAAATTATGGTAATTGTAATTTGACATTGATTACCTCTGAATGTCGTCATATTAGCTCGTGTACCAAGATGTTACATGTACGCAATTCCTCGTAAGTTTGCTTTCCGTGAAAACGAACGAACAGAATTTCGAGGCAAAAACATTTTCGCGTCGCAGCCAAGTCGATTGTTCTGCAAATGGACAAATCTTTCAAAAGATGATTACTCGTCGTTTCTTGACTCAGTTATCGCGAAGCTATTACGTACGTTCAGAGAAGATGTCTGCAATTTGCGAATTCATGTCTCGCGAAAAGAATCTCATTAAATTTGATTATATGTCAAAATTGTCCAGCGGAAAACCAGAGCGAAGATGCATAAAGTAAAAGAGATTCCTACAGAAGGACCTAATGTCACTGATGAATGACAATGATAGTACACAGAGATCACTGATAAATGATCAATAATAAGTACACAAAGTCAATAATACAGGCTTTACTGAAGAACATATATAGTAAATTTTTTAATTTTTAATTGTTAAGTTCTGTTTTTAAAATATAAATAATTTATATATATATATATATATATATAACAAAATAATAATAAATTAAAGTAGAATCGAATATGTTTCTCGGTTATAAAATTTAATAGTAATTTTTACTATAAAATTCCTTTTCATATATAATTTATATAATGCGATATTCTGCATATATTAACGTATTATATATATTTTTTCTCTGATTCCTACATGCCATATCAGTTTATGATAAAGATTACTTATCTATATTTGAAAAAATTGGCGTTTGAACTGAAGGACGAGGTAAGTCAGCAACAAACTGAGTGGGATTTTTACCATCAACGTTTATAAACAGACAATTGTTCGTAGAACGCTAGCAGCATACAGTAGTGCATACAGTTGGTTCCATCAACACCTTTGCAGACGGAAACTGTTCGTTTGTTCCGCACGAGCCTTAAATCAAACGCAATTGGATCATTGCGATACTTTATCATGAATGATTATTAATGCGATTTGACCTGCGGGTACGAATCGCATTGGTGTCGTAAAACGCGCGTCGCTTTATAATCCTCAACCGGTATCGCATGTTTCTCGCAAGACGTATATCGAAAACTCAGAACGTACCAAACTAAATTGACATTTGACATATTTAGTGTATACAAACTGGCATAATAGCTTTAACACGCAATATAATTAGATTGCTAGTAATTTCTAACTGTAGATATTCCTTTTTGGACATTAAAATTATTACAGTGACAAATACTACTTTAATACATCGTTTCTGTGCTTTTGAATAATCAATAATGTGTACTATATTAGAATGTGTATATATTAGAAAATTCTAATAATCCAGTTGCATTAATAATCGAGTTACATGTTAAAGTTATTGTGTCGATCTGTCAAAACTGGATGACAAAATGGTTTGAACATATTTTATTTTCGATTCCGTTTTGAATACAGCCAATGGTTCAATAAGAGAATTTAAGTTCTAGAATTGATAAAAAAAGTTTTCTCATTGAATCATCGACTACGTTTTAAGCTATATCGAGAAAAAATGTCCAAGTCGTTTTGAAACCAAGTGTATAGCAGCTTGTAACGATAAGCCGACTTACTTTGCTACTTTATTTTTATGAAATTTATTATTTTAATTCAAAATTTGTGTATCGGCACATCCATTGATCTCTAACCATACTGGATAGTGCATGTCTTTGTTTTCGAGCGGTCAGAAAAAGATAGTTGAGCGGGGACGGTGTACCCTTGTCTAACCAACTCGAGGTACCACGCGACTCAATGCACAACCCACTCTGAAAACTTTAACTTCCACACACATTTCCCATATATCGAAATAGTATATTTATATATAATATATATAAAAAAGAATAAATGACACGATTCTTTTAGATAACGTACACAATAGCAGCGACAGAAGTTTTATCTTATCGAGTGGTACCGGTCAGTTCGTCGCTCACATTTCGGAACTGATGTTTTTAGTCACGGTGGTTTACGCTTGAAAGAAGCAACCACGTCCCAATTCGACTATCTCTCTCTGACCGTTTGGTACCGTGGAGGAGGTAGGTAGTGAGCCTTCCAATATGGTTATAGTTCAATGAACACGCCATACGCCAACAGAGGTTATCGTTCTGACGATGGTGTCGTCTTTTAATTTTATTCTATTCTACTACTATGTTGATACGTTGATAAATGCTTATTCGATCTCATCGTTTCACTGTTGTGTGCGATTCGTCGTTGTCGTATCGGGTTACCGCTTCGCGGAATTTTGTTACCTAAGCCTAAGTTAATTCACGGTACGAAGGACAGTAGTCACCATCGTGGGGGAAATCGTCACCTCTGTTTCACTTTACTGTTGTCGTCGTCGACGTCGTCATCTTCATCGTTTAAAGTCATTAAACGCATGCGCGCGATCGCGTTTCCTGACGTCGTCGTTGGCAATTACATCGTTAAATGATACGCCAGAATATATATCAGTCGTGATCGTTTTTAAATGAGCTAGGATTATGAGGCTGTGTCACGCTACAACGGATAACAAGTGGAGGAGTCGCAATGTGAAGTACGACGCAATTTCCACTTTATAACTGCAACTTCGATGAATCTTATGTCAACGAAACTGAGAATGCGTATGCGTCATCTTCGACTGATGCAATTTAAATGCGAGTATCCAACCATCTTATTGATAGTAGAGGTTCGCACATGTTTCGTTATGTATGATTTTAATGCAAAGGTGTAAAATAATTCTCAACGATGATTTATTCCGTGACAGGAAATCTTGGTTTAATGTGTTAGATCGTGTGCTGATTATTACTGCTATTTGGATCTATTATTTTTCGTGATTCCGATCTTGTTATGTTAAATCGGCCTCGAAAACGACATTGCTGTCTTGCTGATCCGAGTCACTAATACCTTCTGTGTTGTGAATTTTATTAAAAATTGGTTACAAAAACTTTACAAAAGGGCATCCTTTATGGCCTTGACATATAGAAGTCATTCTTTCGAGTAACCTTCAAAAAATTTTAGTCGTCGCTCATTGTTTATTAAAAAGTTAACAAAAAGTTTCATAAAAAAAAATAAGACATAGTTTTCCGATATCGTATACATTTAAAAGGAAAATACGTAGTTCGTATTATATACAAATATCTTCATAAGTAAATTAAATTAAAAGATTTTATCCACCGATCATCGTTTATTAAAAAGTTATTAACAAACAAGTTTCATAAATAAAATATATATTTTGGATACTGTATAGATAAAATTGCAGTCATATATATTGCATATAATAGTCATGATAATACTGTTCAGTTTTTCTTTTGAAGCGAGCGCTTCATATGTAAACAGAAATGTTATTATACAGATTTTATGTGATTCTTTCTATTTATGTCAAAGCCCATAGTATGGATTTCCAGGATTGACTGATTAATATCATAGACCTGTGATAAATGGATTGCTCATAGTCTAGAAAAATGTGTCCTCATCAGAACTAAGAGAGATGCAAAATAACTTCACAGTGTGAAGTTTATTTCACAGTATTTTTTATACACTTCAAACTGCACTTGACATTTCACAAGAAATATAATCGCATCTGCTTCCACTTCTTTCCTGTTTTATCACAGCACAGCAGATGTTGTGCGTATTCTGGGAGGAAACTTCACATTGCGAAGTTATTTTGCATGTCTCTCAGTTCTGGTGGAGACACGGAATTCTGTATATAAAGTAAGGGATGAGTAGTCCATATATTATAGGTCTATAGTTAATATACGGAACACAATCAAGCATTTTAGTTAAAGCCCGAAATAGTTTAGTGTGTTGTCTTTTGACTAGTGTGTTTTTAATCAATCTTAGGAGTGATTGATATGGCTGTCATTCCTAGTTAGAGACTTAAAAGTCATAGTAAAACTCTTGTTTATGGGGAGTAGGGGGCATTTCCAATGATCATATCCTTATATTATAAATATATTGCAAAGATGATCGTCTTGAGAACCTTTAACAGGTCTTAACCGTCGCTCATTGTTTATTAAAAAGTTATTAATAAAAGAAATTTCATAAATAGTGCGTAATTCTTCAATATCATATGCATTTAATAAATGTCAAAAGTATATTTTTGATATTAAAATAGTATATTTTTGCACGCACGCATGCACACACAAACACATGAGCATGCGCATTGTACACACATATACACACATACACACACATGCACGCACTCACACATACATACACACATACACATATATATACACACATACAAATCACACATTAAAATTATATTACTAGATTATTTAAATATTTTTATATTTCTTCTTTTGTGTTTATATTTCTGTGCGTATATTCTAAATATAAGTAACATAAAAAATACAATTTTTTCATTATTGTTTTCTTTATTGTTGATAATTTTTTATTAATAAAATAAAAAATGCACTAAAAACTTTAAGCTTAAATATATTCGATAAGTTAAAAACTTTAAGCTATTGCATATTATCTATAAAATCATTTATTTTATTAAATTAATGAGTCTATTGTATACTAAAATAACAGATCTTGAAAATGTTATCTGGATAATATTAGTAAAGACTTCTATGCAATGTTTGTATTAAAGCGATTTATCGCACACACATACCTATACACATACATACACACACTAAAGTACACTAAAGTACACACACATTTCGTATTAAATAAGTTTAAGTAAGTATTATATATAATATTATTTTCTCAGTATTTTACATATTTTATTACATATTTAATTTCAAACCTTTGATAGACCCTCGCTAATTTTTTCATGGTTTATTATTTTGGAATATGCTAGATTCATTAATTTAGTAAGACAAAAAAATTAAACGTTAATAACCAGAAATCTGTTTTAGTACTGTTTCAATACTAACAATTCGAATTTTTTACTTCGTAAGATATTTGAATACAGGATGTTCCAGATTCTCCTCTGCAATTTTTGTGAGAACGTAGAACGGATTGAAGTGAATATAAAAGTCCTAAACTATTTTACGCTATTCGCAATAGTCGAGATATTAATTAAAGAAGTTTAGTGAATAATTACATACGATATGATAGATAAGCGATATGTGTTGTTGTATGCTTGCATAGGTCAAATTAAATAAAAAGCCCATTAATATTTTGTACATAACCATGTGGATTTTTAGTTATTAATGAAAGAAAATTGTCCCATGATTGTGCGTGAATCTTCTGTAATCTATATCTAAAAATATATGTGTTAATTTGTAAAATAGTAGAGAACTTTTTGTTCAGTTTGACCTAATGTATATAACGGTAGAAAGCGCCACTACAGCTCATCTACCATAACGCGTGTAATCATTTATCAATCTTCTTTAATTTATTAATTATAGATTAGATCTCCTTTAATTTATTAAATATCTCAAGATTTATTGCAAATATCACAAAACAATGTGGGACTTTTATGTTTCTTATCTCAATCCATTCTACATTTCCACAAAAATTATGGAGAAGAGTATGGCACATTCTATATAATATTACGTGTTTGCTTCTTAAATATACATGAAAAATTATGTCGAAAATTATGTCGGAAAATTACTCACAAAATTCTTTTTATTAATAATTTTTTAATAAACAATGAATGATGATTAAAAGTTTTTGAAGGTTACTAAAAAAGATAACTTTTATAATATATGTTAATATCAAGTTCATAGGAGGTAAGTTTCCTGTTATAAAAATTTTACAAAATTTTTTCAATATTTACTTTGATTGTTGTCAAAGCCGCGAGAAACGCTCATATCTCATCATTTTACAAGTTATTATATAGCTCTTCGAAGATGATCCGTAACAGTTGCCGTATTTACAATGCGTTTTTACGTTTATTTCATGGGGCATTTTTATCGCGACTTTAACGATAATTAGCGGAATGTCTGATATCTATATAGTTTATTCATATCATATTGGTTTCATGAACGATACACAGCTATGTACGTTTTTGTTTTTACATCTACATATATTTGCCGCGTAAAATCTAAAATAATATGCACATTGTCCATTTAGCATGAGTAGTTCGTCAACGTCGTTAATATCGAATCTTCATATTTTTGGCGAAGTCACCGAAATGCGCACTTGTCATTTGAGATGGTCGAGAGAAGGGAGAAAGTGAAAGAGACTTAGAATAATTTATAATTAATTACTAACTGCTTATTAATTATTAATACTCAAACATTTTCATGAATGTTATACGACAAATATTCCTACAACTTTTTCTAATTTCATAAAGATGAAAGGTTATAAAACGAAGATCAGAGAGGACGATTCTGTATCTTTTGTATCAAGCGACATGGTACTGTCTCGTGCTAAGTAATATTTATTTACGCAAGCTTCCACAATCTCATGAATGACAGGAATAGCAACAATACATCTCATTGATTCGTTAGCCGTTCCGAAAAGATAATTTTTTATTTTTTATTTACGCGAAATATGTTTAAATTCCAGAGCGCAGGAACCTTGTTCCAAAGCTATGTACTTATCTGACGAGATTAATAGCGCGAAGTAACCTTGAAAGAATAGAAAATATACACTATTGTTTTCGAAATTCCCGCGTCATGTCGCACGAGTTAATTTCGAATATATTTTTCGTACAGTTATTTATCGACAATGAAAGAAGAGCTACACTTACGCGATCGCAAAATAATGCTTGCTGGCGCGTTGCCACACTAACTAATACGGTCGTGAGCAGTGTTACGAGAGGAGCTCAGTTTTCGACGCATGTGTGGTGGCATAGCATAAAATGTAGTAACGTATGTACATATTAATGTAAGTCGTCTACAATATGCGGTGTAAATTTAGCGTAAGTTAGAATAAGAAATAAAAATAATTTATTTCGTTTATGTGCTTATATTTTAACTCTCTTACACTGAAAATATTTCTTTTACTTAAGAGATTTTCAGCGCCAAAAGATTGACGTATTTTGAGAACTTTTTTTCAGGAAGAGAGTAAAATAAATTGAAAAATTAATAATTTCACGTTCTTTAATATTTTATTTATATAAAAAAGTTTTTTCCGTCTAATTTGGTTACATATAGACTCTGTAATTTGCAGCCATGTAAACCTTTGCACGAAAATCCGGGCTTTATAAACAGCATTCTAACTTCTAACTAGAAGTTAGAAACACAAAATTATTAAAATTTTAATAGTGTCTTGTAAAATAGGATAAAATTGCATAAAAGTTAAAACCTCATTGATTTTTTTTCTTTTTGAAATATGAAATGTTATAGAAAATGAAATTCTGAGTAACTTTTTCCTATATGATTATATAGGGGTCACATATAGTTTCGGAGATGAATATCTCTGACTTTAAAATTTTGAAAGTGTACATGTTATAAATGGATCTAAGATCCTGGCAATTATACATAGAAATATAGTAAACAGCATTCGTATATACGCGAGGAAGGAGCACAAGCGACACAAAGACTCCGCCCCTCTCCCCGCAACCCTTAAAAAAACTAACCTAACCTAACTAAACTAACCTAACCTAACTTAGCCTATCTATTGAAATGATATTTGTACACGTACATACGTAACTAAATCTACCAATTAAATTTTTATACATAATTTGTCAATAGAAAACAATATAAGAATACAAATGCAGGTATATAGATAAAATGCTATTTTCGATATTTTTTGCATTTTTGCAAATTATGCATAAAAATATAAAGA